GTTATCGTTATGTGCTTAATGCTTGATTTTTGTAGTCCACGAAATTTACATTTTTTTGTAAAATTTTTTAATAAGCGACAGCATAATTCAAACTTTACAGCTTGTGAAACAAGTTGTCATTAGTCCACACGCGCAAAGCGAATTTGCAATAAACGACTACCTGTGTGATATGTGTGATCCTGACTTTCAATCAATAAAAAGGTACTCTTAAGAAGTTCTAAAGTATGACTTGAGCAATGTTGCGAAATTATCAAAATACTCCTTATTATGAATGAAAAAAAAATTTATAAAATTTAATCAGTTAAACATATTAGATATTGTTTCCTATGCGGTGGCAAAACCGTATACGAATTTGATTGATTAAGCACATTTTCTAATATTTCTAAACGTATAGTTTTGAGTTACCTTAGCAACGGCGTCACAAATAAAAATAGATAGAAAAACTGATAAGACCACTGATAAGTATAGAAAAAGAACGCAGAGTCGTACATTGAAGAATGTGAGTTGCGTGCCTCCTCTTCCTTGTCATGGCTAAACAATGCACGTTATTTACTCAAATCTATTTGATACTAATTCTTTGTCTTTTAATCTTTTTATGCAATTGTTTTTTTTGTTACAATATTTATAACAATGTGAAACTTTTTTTTTAATATCCTACTTTTCCACCTGTAATGAATCACTTAGCATGCAGTTGGATAAGGAATTGAAAAATTCTGATGATGTTTGAAAAGAAATAAAAATAAATTTTTTGTGATATAAGACTATTTTAGTATTGGTCTGATTTATCGTCTATTGTTGATTTTAAAAACCTCCATTTTGTAAACTTTTAAACCAATAACTGTTTGATGTTTGTAGTGACATATCAAGTCACAAATACAATAATTTAAGGAAAGTTTTTTGGCAAAAAAAAGATTATCCTATTTTTATGAGAGAATTAAATAAGCTTACATTCCCAAGCAAAAAAACAACGGATTTATGACATAATCTATATACTATACATTGTATAAGAGAGAAATGATTGTACGGTAGATTTTTTTAATCATAAAAAGTACGAGAACTTTGATAAAATACCGAAATAACGAGTCTGTGTACTAGGCAAACATTTTTTAAATTCTTAGTGTTTTACTTGACTGATTATAAAACTATTTACGTTGTTTTTTTTTACAAAATTTATATGCCGACGCAAGTTTTTATGTGTACAATTTCAACCAATTTTAACATTTATTTCTTTACAATGAAAAGTGTAAAATATAATTCGCAATAAAAATCACGAAATGAGATGCTAAATAATGGATGATATCATTATTTTGAAAATAAAAAACGATTTTTCTTGAGCATTGATTTGTTTTTATATATAGCTACAATATTAAAATTTTCAGCCATGCAACAACTCTCTAGATGCGCATACGTTTGACCTGAGTTATTTGTGTAATAGCCACTGCTCATAAAAAACTTCTCAAAATTTTCATTTCTTTAAAAAAAAAAGGAATAAAAAATTAAGTAGCAAAACTACAATACAGGGCCTATTACAAAAAAATTGGTGGATACGAACGTGACGTCTAAACTTAGTTTAGGACTCTTAGTTCAGTCTTGTGGAACAAATAGCGGAATAATATTTGACTTTCTCAATCATTACCTATTATTCTCTTGTACTACAAAAAACTTTAAGGTGATATACATTTCCAAATTTCAAACCGTACTGTGTTTATAAGAAGATCTGAACATGTTGTTTCATAAAAAAATTATTATACATTTAATACGTTAAATACAAAAGGCCGTGGGACAAAACAGGTTGTTTCGGTCCAGCTGTTCAGCGAATGACTTAGCTCAATTGCACATTTTAATTTAATTAACCACTCAACTAATTCACTGTGTATTATTTTATAGAATGTATTTTTTTTTTTTTTTTTTTTTCATGACAGTTTAAATTCTAGATGTTTCTAGACATATATGTATGAATTTTTTGAAGAAACGAATTTTCTACCACTTTTCTTGAATAACGGCATTTATTTTATTGTATGTATGTATGTAAGTTTACGCTCAAACTGTATGAAGTAAAGTCTTTTTTTGTGCGCATCCGCTTGTGCACTTATTCCTTTATGTGTAACAGCTTAAAAGTGTATAAATGGTCTATAAAATTAAAAAAAAAACGATCCAATCAGTAAATGTCGGCCTTGTTTATTCCCTTTCAGAACCTTTGTCAATTTAGATGAAAGCTTTTTTTTCAGGATATTTGGAACAGCTACGATGAAAACGTTAGGATGCTTTTCAATACTTTGAACCTCTTATTTCAATCCCCATTTTCAAAGTAAAACCGCATGAGTCGGTAAAGAATTAGTTGAGAAAAAATGTTTGGAAAAATTTCATAATGAAAATTGCATTCGTAAGGATCCGTACCGAATTCATTTGTATGTATTTGTCTGAATTTTCGTTATTAAATATTGACCTTCTACGAGGAAATGTTATTTTTTGAAGAATTATGTACTAAATAAAAATATCACCCTTATAAACACAGTGTTTCAACTTTCACAGTTAATTAAAAATTTTTTTCCAAAATTTAGCATTGGAAAATATGATAAATGAGCCTGAAGTACCCCTGTTCTGTGTAGTGGGATGAAACATTATAAAAATATGTCTCTAATTACCAAAATAGTCACACTGAGTAATTAAGATCGCGCGTGGCTAATTTACCTAACGATAAACAATGTGTTGAAAGGATTTTCACACTTATGACCACAATAATAACCAAGAAGGTCGGACAGTCTTCCAAAACTGAAAATAAGGATTTTGACATATATATATGAGCTTTATTAGTTCCTTTTTGAATCATCCAATAATATGGACATCTTCAAAAGCTTATACAAACCTCCAAATAGAATAAGCTAAAAAACTGAAGAATTCGATCAAAATCGTGGATTTTCTTTTTAAAGCGGAGGGAAAAATGTACTTAAGTACGCCGACACGTGAATTGCAGATCATTCCCCTAATTTTTTTTTGAGTATTTTTTCTTCTTAAATTTATTACACGACTTATTCAGTAGAAGTAATTTTGTTTCACCTTTGCCTAAGCTATATCATTGTCTAAATCTCTTGCAGTGTATCAACATATGACCAGTTAATAAATAAATTATAGATGAGTATGAAATCTAAAGAGGAAATCAGTGTAAATACGCACTGCATAAACCGTAAACTGAAAAAAAATTCCAACCATTTTACCTTGGATTTTGTAAATTTGAAAGTTTTATCCGAATTTGCGGGTATGTGTATAAATATTTAAATAGTGAAAGTGCATTTTATATTTTCTGCTAACGAACAAGTAAGTATGTAGTCGAATATTGTTGGAGAAANTCGAGAAGCTATATCTCGTTTTAAAAAAATAATCAGTAAAACGTTAATGTTCAAAAATGCTCTGTTAAAAAACTTTGTAAAACCTTTTGTTGTCAAAAAATTTGTAATACGTTAAAAAAATTAAGCTTGTATATTCATAGTCATTGTAAAACTATTTGTTTTTTACTTAAATCAGCTTATTAAAAAGAAGTTACTTGGTACATTTGGATGTGTATTAAGGAATTTCCGAAAAGTAAAAATTTATGAACAGGCAGAAAATTGACGTTGAGGAATGGAGGAAGGATGCACGCAATAATAACAATCTGTTTTACTGATGTGTTTAAAATAATCTCTTGTATTTCTCTTAAATTACATAAGTTTTTTAAGATCATACAATCTTATNTTATTAATCAGTCTAAACGTTATTCTTAGCTTTAATGTTTTATATTTTTTTCTAGAAATTGCAAAATGTAATATTTATGATACATTCAAACAGATTAAAAACAAGACTTAAACAGAATAAATTATTATTAATTTTAAAACTACTAAATAAAGACACGCGTTGTAATACGTAAAACGCACTTACACAAAAACTCGAGAGATCGAAAGCAGGCAAAGTATTATATTTTTTAACTGATGGTTACAGTGCACTTGTTTGTTTGGTCCCATACAGCTCTGTTATGCAAAATATAAACGTTGCGACCATGTCCTTTTCTAATACCATGAACACGTTGTTTAATTTATTTTCCATGAAGCAAACCTTAAAGTTTTTAAATCTTTTGATGCATAAACTTAATCTGACGATGGAACAAAATTATCGTGATATATTAACTACCAAAGTAATACCTTGTAACTAAACATAATCACTTTACAAAAACATTTTCTTGATATCTTACGATATTCGATAAAATATACTAGGTACGTAAATAACAGTGTTTTTACAAAAGATGAGCAATTCATGATCTTTGAAATGTTTGATTGCTACCATATCTTACTGACTGTAATTTTCGTTTGAAACATTGTGCAACAAGTCTTGTATTATTGATTTCACTTGATTTTTTTATTCTATTTATACTGTTAATCTATTTTGTTGTATAACAACAAATACCAATGTTTCATGCTATTTTTAACTAATATGCATATATACAATTCACAAACAACTACAAGTACTAGGCATGTTAACTTATTTGGAAAAGTTTTTAAAATAATTCTCAACTAATGTTTAGGTGAATCAACATTTGCCTATACGTCCTTTGAAACCGTTGCATTCAAAAGTTATTATATTGAAATTTAAACAATTTCAAGCCTATTTGAAGTTCATTGTATCCAAAATATCTTCCGTGTTTTGCAAAAGTCTACTTATGTGGAATGATCTTATGTAAAACAATCTAGTGCATTTATATTTACATATACAAGGCATAGGAGATGACAATTATCCTCCAATGCGTTAGTTCACCTAGATTTATATTATTTACAAATCATCAACAGTCACATCATAACTTTTCATCGAGATGTTTCGGGATAACTCGAGGCATTTAGGGAACCGCCTGTTTCCGGCTTGATTGTTGAACTATGATACATGGAACTTCTGTCCAACAAGGCCTTCCTTTTACTTGTCTCTCTTTCCACACTTTCGTGAATTTTATTCAGGCGCTCTTGAGTTTTTTGAAGGATGTTACTGACAACCACAACCTTTCTCTTCGCATTAGCTAATTTTGTGACATACGAGTCCAATTCTATCGGACACTGGAGAGATTCGTTGATTTTCAAAAGTTCCTCTAGCAATGAGTCAATCTGCTGTCTCAGCTCAATTTGACTTATTCTGGAAAGAGGGTATTGCTATTAGCATTGATTCAAGCTGAGATGGAAACAAAAATTTTTAAATTCATTTATATTCTGTAGGATATTTACTGGAATCTAAAACTGATAATGTATGTGAGTACTTTGTACATGAATGACATCACACTATCGGGCAAGTTCTTACTGATTCGGGCAATGAGAACTAAATCATTTTTATCATTCATTGTTGACATTCACGTACACAAACACACAACAGTGCAAACAATTGTTTTAAACAGCCAAGTAATTGTCAGCCACATACCTAGTAGCTCGCATCCTTTCGTCCAGCTGATCTACGGTGGGTTTGAGCAAACTCATGATCCCTTCGGTGAGAGCATCTCTCGTGGGATTGTCGCCGTAGTCTTCGGTCTTGTCATCCAAGGACGTATTGTCGCTTGCAGTATCTATATCCATTTCGAACTTTGCAATTCCAATAGTTAACTATAATTTCAGTCTTTTAAACTAGCAACCGATGACGGCCGATAACCTTGCGATTGTTTTGATAATGCGCCCCACTCCCGCTTCAAAAAAGACGCCCACGCGCACACAAGGATTTGGAGCGCGTAATTCAAAAAGGTATAAAAATGAACTGAGACCAATTACGTGCACTTGGATAAATGTATTTCTTTCAATAGTAAACGTACAAAAAATCATTTAACAAAACAACAATATTCTTAGACATTTGAAAATTGTTAAAATAAATAAAATTTATGAAAAAAGTAAAACATTGTATCACTAGTCATACTGTGGAAATAAAAATTTACGCCTATTATTTACAGTAAGAACATACTTAAAGTATTTTTTTGATTTTAATATTGGCTCTTTTGAAATCGCAGGACATGTAAATGTTCTCCTCTGATCTTCCTTTCAGCAACTATCGAACCAGTCATGTTAAAGCCTTTGAAAAGTTCTATGATTTCGTGAGGTTTGTTGTCTTTAATCACAAGCAGGTAAAAGAAGCCATTGTCCGACAAGATGTGAGGTATTTTTGGAAATAGCCTGTCCATCACTTCTCTGCCCCTGTGACCACCAGCCCAAGTCTTAAAAATGAGTCTTCTGTCGAGAACTTCCAAAGGTTCGGTGGCTACATAGGGTGGATTGAATATAATCACATCAAAAATACCTCTATCGACTATACCATCTAATAAGTCCATTTGCACAGCCTCGACTCTGACACTATTAATAATACTTGTTTTTTTGGAAGCTTGGCAAGCTTTAGCGTTTATGTCTATCCCCAAGTAGAACGAAGTGAAATACTTTCTCAACTCCATTGCCAAAGCTGTAATAACTACACCTGATCCTATACCAACTTCCAAACACATGGCACACTTTTGAGATTTAAGAAGCTCTAAATCATTTTCTAATGTATCTATCAACAGAAACGAGTCTTCAGCTGGTTCGTAAACGTCGTGTAACTCCTCTTCTGACAAATTAAATATTGGCGTATCCATTTTTTAGTGAATCTTACAGTCGACGATCCTTTGAGACTTGAAACCTAAGCAAAACATACATTGAATTCAATAATAGAATAGTTTAAGATTTAAAAAGATTATTGATATAATAGTACCTGAATTTTTTTCCTGCACAAATTTATCACTGTTACTAATTGTATGGCTTCATTGTGTATGTCCACCGTTTTTTTAAAACAAGGCTTTTTTTGGTTATGTTCCGAAAGAAAACATTAAAAACTGAAGAGTTTATAGAAGTATGGGCAGCTAACTCCATAACAAACGCTATTTGTTGTAATTCACGATATTAATTTTTTTCCCACATACGTTTTTTCGCTGTACATGAAACACACACACTAGGGTACCTCAATATAGTTGTCTGAGACTGGTTCAGCCTCCAGTAGATCATAGAAAATGTTTATAATACTGTACACTAAAGTGTAATTCACAAGGCGTTAATATTTTACAAATCTATTAATAACTGAGTATTATTTTAATCACAAGATCGGAGTTAATAGGTTAGTACTACTTGACATCTATTATCAGGCCACGATTACATTGCTGCGTAATTGCGTATGGCCGCGCTCGACCGCATCCGAACTTTCTGATAACGACCCTTCGATATATCTCGCAGGGGCCCAAAGATGTAAAAAATCTTAAACCAGCCGCAACTCTTATTTAGGTTGGGAAACTTGAAGATTTAAAAGATCCGAAACATTTTTAACATATTATGTTTTGGTAAAGAGTTATCTGGTAATGAAAGTAGTACCATGTAATTAATTTTATAAACCAGCCGCAATATAAACCATCAAATAGAAAATATAAAATTCTGTAACTTGATGCCATTTGCGGCAAAATTGAAAATTATCTTCTACTCAAAATTTGACCTTTGAAAAATGGATCCATGGTCGATTTTCAAATAGAAGATAAATTTTAATCTTGTCACAAATGACATTAAATTTTGTAACTTACTGTTTTCTATCCTATGGTCAAAGTTGCGGCTGACTTATAAAATCGACTACATGGTACTACTTTAATTACCAGAACAAAATATGAAAAAAATTTTGAGGATCTGTAAGTATTATCATATTTCTCAATTCTGATAAGAGCTGCGGCTGGTTCAGATTTTTGACCATCCTCGGGCCTCAGCTCTATTTAGAGATGCGACTTGCAAGCTCGAGCTGAACGATTTGACGTTGACGATGACCATGCCAGACAATGCAGTGGGGGATTGGGGGGACATTTGACTGTTACATTTTCGTCACATTTCAATACTAATATATGCGACTGCTAATGTCGAACTTGGTCACGTTCATCGAAGCACTCAATTAGACTTCAGGATCCTCAGGTCTATATACGAAAGTTTCAGGGTTGGGGGGCCGTAAGTTCCCGTTACTACGTGCGTATTGGAGTTTTTCTGAAAATTAATTGTTTTTGCACGTGTTATTGTAGAAAAAATTCTCTAATTAAATAACGAAAAAAGGCTAAATACGATTTGAAAAAAGTACCATCAAAACGGTTATTGCACTGTAAAATTTTTTTGTTATAGCATATATGTAGCTGGATGAAAAAGGTAAATATTGAGCCTCGGTAAAAAAAATTGATGCTATGACTATTACGCTATAATTATTACGTCGATACTAACTCATAAATCATATAAATGTTTGAAAAAAATTAATTACAGCGCTAATATCGTTCCCACAAGGCTTATTATTGTATGTTTTCATTTGCCTACAAAATAATAGAAAAAAAAATTTTATCATGAAACAACTGTTTTTATTCGAGCGAAAATTATTTCAACTAATAAAAAATAATTAGTGAAGTATGATAATTGTCTAAATTTAAGACAAGTATTATAATTTAACAAGTAACATTATTTTTTATTGTCAGTTAATATTGTTTTTTTCGTTATAAATGTCATTCTAGAAACATAAAAGAATAGTACATGAAAAGAACTTTTTATGTTAGTAATATATCGTTACTGGATACTTGACTTTTGAAATTTATCAAAGAATAATAGTTCGTAATAATTTTTGATAACGTATTATTTTTATTATATTATAAATAACATGAAAAAAAAAAATAAATAATATTTGCAGGTGTTTTTACGAATCAATCTCATGAATGAAAGAAAAAAATAAGAAGCATTAAAAAGTTCTAAGTGACTAATAATTGTGAATAATAAGTTTTAATAGTTGTCTTAAATCTAGATTTTATAAGCTATTACTATTTTATTTTTAACTTATTTTTTAAAATAGTTATTACCAATTAATCGAGTAAAATTATTTCTGCTTGGCTAGATTAAGTAGATTTTTTAGTATATTTTGATTTTTTTTTTTTACATACAATTATTCAAGCACAAAAGATGATTATACCTATTAGTTTACTGGAAAGAACGAATTGTTTGCGATCAGAATTAGAATAAAAATTGCTGTTAGTAATTAGGTTTTATTTCACCAACATTTTTAGCTTATCACAACCAGACGTTCTCTTTTAAATCTATAGATATTGCACTGGCCTACAGTTTTTTTAACGTTAATATGCGGATGGATTCTAATATCCTTCGAAAACAAATACAAAAATGTTGGAGTGTATTTCCAATGCCAAAGGGCAGATGTACGTTTAAAGATAATTTATAAACATAATCCCCATTTATAAAAAAATTAAATTATGCTTCCCGATGTTAACTACAAAAAATGTGGTGCAAATTTTATCAATGTTGATATCATCACCATTTAAAAAAAAATGTCCGTCAGATGAATATAGAAATATCAAGTGGTGCGGTAATGTCACATATCATTTTTATTCAGCCTGAAAAGTTCCAGTTCTTAAATTAATTACTAATTCATGTCTGTTTCTTAGAATTAAGCATTTGACTGACAATAGATTAATTTGGTTTCAAATTTCTTGAGTATCAAAGATTTTTAATTGATCGAATTTTTTTAAAATTATTAGTACATAAAATATCTAATACAAAAAAAAAAAAAAAATAACTGAGGTTAACAAAAACAAATTCAATAATAGAATAGTTTAAGATTTAAAAAGATTATTGATATAATAGTACCTGAATTTTTTTCCTGCACAAATTTATCACTGTTACTAATTGTATGGCTTCATTGTGTATGTCCACCGTTTTTTTAAAACAAGGCTTTTTTTGGTTATGTTCCGAAAGAAAACATTAAAAACTGAAGAGTTTATAGAAGTATGGGCAGCTAACTCCATAACAAACGCTATTTGTTGTAATTCACGATATTAATTTTTTTCCCACATACGTTTTTTCGCTGTACATGAAACACACACACTAGGGTACCTCAATATAGTTGTCTGAGACTGGTTCAGCCTCCAGTAGATCATAGAAAATGTTTATAATACTGTACACTAAAGTGTAATTCACAAGGCGTTAATATTTTACAAATCTATTAATAACTGAGTATTATTTTAATCACAAGATCGGAGTTAATAGGTTAGTACTACTTGACATCTATTATCAGGCCACGATTACATTGCTGCGTAATTGCGTATGGCCGCGCTCGACCGCATCCGAACTTTCTGATAACGACCCTTCGATATATCTCGCAGGGGCCCAAAGATGTAAAAAATCTTAAACCAGCCGCAACTCTTATTTAGGTTGGGAAACTTGAAGATTTAAAAGATCCGAAACATTTTTAACATATTATGTTTTGGTAAAGAGTTATCTGGTAATGAAAGTAGTACCATGTAATTAATTTTATAAACCAGCCGCAATATAAACCATCAAATAGAAAATATAAAATTCTGTAACTTGATGCCATTTGCGGCAAAATTGAAAATTATCTTCTACTCAAAATTTGACCTTTGAAAAATGGATCCATGGTCGATTTTCAAATAGAAGATAAATTTTAATCTTGTCACAAATGACATTAAATTTTGTAACTTACTGTTTTCTATCCTATGGTCAAAGTTGCGGCTGACTTATAAAATCGACTACATGGTACTACTTTAATTACCAGAACAAAATATGAAAAAAATTTTGAGGATCTGTAAGTATTATCATATTTCTCAATTCTGATAAGAGCTGCGGCTGGTTCAGATTTTTGACCATCCTCGGGCCTCAGCTCTATTTAGAGATGCGACTTGCAAGCTCGAGCTGAACGATTTGACGTTGACGATGACCATGCCAGACAATGCAGTGGGGGATTGGGGGGACATTTGACTGTTACATTTTCGTCACATTTCAATACTAATATATGCGACTGCTAATGTCGAACTTGGTCACGTTCATCGAAGCACTCAATTAGACTTCAGGATCCTCAGGTCTATATACGAAAGTTTCAGGGTTGGGGGGCCGTAAGTTCCCGTTACTACGTGCGTATTGGAGTTTTTCTGAAAATTAATTGTTTTTGCACGTGTTATTGTAGAAAAAATTCTCTAATTAAATAACGAAAAAAGGCTAAATACGATTTGAAAAAAGTACCATCAAAACGGTTATTGCACTGTAAAATTTTTTTGTTATAGCATATATGTAGCTGGATGAAAAAGGTAAATATTGAGCCTCGGTAAAAAAAATTGATGCTATGACTATTACGCTATAATTATTACGTCGATACTAACTCATAAATCATATAAATGTTTGAAAAAAATTAATTACAGCGCTAATATCGTTCCCACAAGGCTTATTATTGTATGTTTTCATTTGCCTACAAAATAATAGAAAAAAAAATTTTATCATGAAACAACTGTTTTTATTCGAGCGAAAATTATTTCAACTAATAAAANTAATAGTTTATATTATGGTTACTACCATCCGTATGGCAACACCAAAACGTACTCCATACATATTCTACTATTAGTGTGGATCTTAAAACATTAACATAATTTTATATTTATTTATATATTCATTCTCTTTCTATAAGACAGTACAGAACACATAATACTTATAAATCTTTATGATTTGATTTTGGACAGTTTTACCTAGCAACAATGAGTGAATAATATAATTTGTTAATTTCTAATACAAACAGACGTCAACTATCCCAGAATTATACAATTCCAATTATTTTACCAGAGATGGATTGTGTATATTTTT